GAGACGCATCTGCTGTGGTTCCCAGCCGAGGGGTGTCATGTCTGGTGGCGTATCCTTATCGGCCGAGGGTGGGGGTAAGGGGCATGTTCAAGTGGCGCTTGGGCAGCCGCGACCACCTGGATGCAAATGTGTTCCCGAACGGAGCTCGGTCAAGTGTCTGCAGGCCAGCGCGCCTGAAAGTGCTGATTGCGATAGTGAATGACCTTGAGGCAGCTGGCCTTGGATAAAGACACCGGACGCAGCAATGTTGGGCACCGGCTACAGGCTCAGCTTTGAATCCGCAGTGTCACGTGAATAAGAAGGTCCTGTCATGCATATGCTTCGTTGTAATGATCGCAAGAGGGATTTTTTCCGCCCTCATCGCATTCTGACCGAAGAAAATTTGAATTAAGACTAAGTTTACAACTTTTTTCGCAATCAATTTACAAATTTGCGATGAATGCAGCTGCCCACATCGCAACCAGCGGACTTCGATAACCAAGTCAAAACTGCCATTTTAGGAAGGCTACACACGCGCCTTTTTCAAATCACTTGGCTCAACTAAGGGAGGAATATGACCAACTTTTGCTCCTCAACTTTTAATGTGTTTTTACTCTGAGCCAGCAAGGTACCAATAATTAATCTCGAACTAAAGGACTACTCACACGCTCCGTGCCGGCCTGAAAGACAGTACCGGGTCCGGTGGGCATGCCTCCTCGATTGGCGGACAAACTCCGAAGAGGGTTAGTCTGAGTGTCCCCCGTTCGATTAGAGGCGGGAGGTGGTAGTAGCCGTTTGTTTTTATCGTAGACGGAAACTTGTGACAGTTTGGAAACCGCACTGAAGCTTACCTCCAGTCAGTCGTTATTTTGAGACATGGGAAGGGGTTGAAGGAGAGTGTAGTGCATGCTTTAGGTCTCTCTCCCTTGTCTTTAGTACTTAGCTCAAACTTGCGTTTTCGCACAAAAAAAGCAGGGACTGGAATCTGCAACTTCGTCAAATGCGCACAGGAGGCAGAGCGATGGTGCGGCAAAATGTCTACCGACGACTTGCTCAGACGTTTTTCGCAACTAGATGTGGTTGGACCTGGGTATAAGTCCGCCCCCCGTACCACAGGTGGCCTTGCACTTCTCTCATGTCTTAACATTAACACTAATCCTCTGCCCCCGGAACTAAGAGCAATCTCGCCTGTACGGTAGGGAAAAGGGGGCATATTTATAAC